AAGGGAATCGGGAAATTCAAATTTAACCGTAATTTATTACCGAGATGAATGTCTTTATCCGGTCGTTTCGTACGATTTACCGCGTTTCCAAACCAACCACCGATACACGTCGACCCATGAAATCGTCTTAACGACGGTGGACGCTTATCAGTTTGTGACATGTTACACGGAATACGAATTAAGCTTCCGGTTTTATTTAAGACCGTTTCATCCCCAGGTTTGGATATCGATTGGGACGACACTTTCGAGTTTGGCGGTAATTGTCTCGCTGTATTTAAAACTGGCGGGAAATTTAAAATTCCCGGTGCTGATATTCTTCTTGGGGTCCGTGTTCGAAGAGGGTTACCCAATACCGGGAAAACTTAAAAATTTAAGCATATTTCGGCTTCTGACGTGGCACTGGTGCCTGTTCGCCGTTGTTTTAACGAACTGCTATACCGGCGGGACTATTGATGTTTTAAACTCGAAATTAAACCAGGTAACGCCAACAACGTTTCAGGACTTGGTCTGTTCTCAAAAAACGTTACCGAGCGAGGCGGGTAGAATTAAATTAATCCGGGACGCGTTCGGATACCCGGATAACCCCAAGTTTGACAAGGATTGTTTCGCTTTATACTCGTTCCCGCTCACGTATGACATCGATTATCAAAAAATGGACCAGTACACATTTTTTCGTTCGGTGTTAACCAATTTAATGTATCGAACCATAATACCGCCAAATTTGAATGAGGCGCTGTACACATTTATAAATTTTAGGCACCGCTATTTCCCTAAGTTGGGGCAAGGTGAGCACAATTTGCGGAGAGCTTATCATAAAAATATTGAAACCGTAATACAAAAAGATTTGCTGACTTGTGGAAAAAGCGTTTTTATTGAAAAGTCCAAAAAATTGGTGCCTTATCGAGAAAAATTGAATAAATGGGTAAAATCAGATAAGTTAAAGATAAGCAGGGATAAAATATTGGAGACTTCGTACTTGTGGAAATTTGATGTTCCGAAAGAGTTCGATGTACCGAGAAAATTTGTGCGATTATTAGAATCTGGAATTTATGGGGAGATGGACCAACTAACTTTGCGGTATGGGAAGAAAGATGACAATTTTTCAAGGAGGGGGAATTACCTGGGGGGAGGGGAAACAAGTGATTTGAGCGGACCGCCATTAAAGTTGGGGAGCAGTATTCAGACCGTTTTTTACATTGTGTTAATGCTTCTGGGTGTGGCGTGCGTTGCTTTTCTGGTTGAAGAGACGATTAAAATTTAATCGTCTCTTCACACCAAGCCTGCCATATTTAATCATTAAATATGGCAGGCTTGGTGTGACGAGAATTTATAGAATTTTAGAAAATTTAAATTAAGACGAAATTTATTCAGCGATTAGCGTATTTACAAAGTAAACATTTCATAAATTTAGCAACTATGAAAAGGGTGAGGAAATATTTCAAGTATTTTTTTTCTGGGGTTTAAACATTAATAAACTAGATGAACAAATTACGTAGAACAAATAAGCATAATTAATAAGTAATAATAAACTAATTGCCCATCAGGTAACGAAATGTGACACCACAAGCTCATTGTGACACTGTTCATTCCACTAGTCGTTATAAATTATTTGAAGTTGAGATTTTTCAAAATTTATCAATTGTGCATAACATATTGAAAAGGGTAAATCTTCACATTTAAACTTTTATAGAAAAACATATATTAAAACAAACATAATTTAATAATTTTAAACTGGAATTACTAAAAACTTAATTTTAATAAATAAGCATATATTCATTAATTAAACAATTGGATAATTCATGGCTACAAACTTTTCGTAAAAGTCGGTCTAGATAGGTATTCGTCGAATTTTAGTATAAAATCAAATTTTCAACTAGTCGCTCCAAAAACGATTTCCCTTGAAAAATCCTAAACTTTGAGACAGTCAGGTTGTTTGACACCATCAGCTTTAATATCTTCCTCTAAGACTCTTCACTAAACTGGACACAATATCAGGACCAATATGCAAATCTTAAAATCTTATCAGCCAACGTGACTTATCAAGAAATTTAATCATGATAACTTACCCGAAGGTAGGAAATGAAGACCTCGTCCATCTCATTCATCGCGAGGAGTAGTTCCTTAAAGAGATCCAACTCGTACACTGTCAGATCTTGTTCTATATGTTTTACATTGCATCCCGTAATTTTCAAAGTTTGCACGCCTAAGTTTGAGAGAAATTAAACAAATAAATAATGTCTTTAAATTATTATGTCAAGTAATTTAACACATTAGTGAAAGTACATTGAGGGTATTAATTACGATTTACGAGATAACATGCTATGTTCGCATCACAACAGAATTTTGAAAAAATACTGGGATTATCATTACGAGTTCGCATCATTGGCAACGTTCGCAAAAAAAATTTTGGCTTTAAAATTCATTTGCGAAAACTTGCACATATCCAAGGCTTGTATTCAGTTCGCATTTTTAATAAATTGTAATGCAATGCAAATGCATGAAAACCCGTGATATATTTTTTTGTGAACTTTATTTTTTGCGAAAGCTACAAACTCGTAATCAATACCATAATTATATTGCTTTGAATAAAATATTAACCAAATAATCTACTTAGTTTTTGATTTTTCGTGATTTATGCATTAAAAATAATTTCGGAGTATAACGAAAATTAACATCCAACGTCCTTAGAATGTTTGCAAAAAAAATTACTAAGCTGAGCCTGATTACTAAATTGGCGAAATTGGAAAGAATATGTTCAAATAGGGGTGCGGACGCCACCTATGTGCTGCAAATGTAATTTTTTGATGCCAGGATATGTGGATATGAGTGGTGGGATGTATGGCACCCACCACTCACTCTGTATGAGAGTTGCAGCCACCACGTTTGGCAGAAAATGCACGAAATCGTGTGTGCTTCCAAAATCTCACTTTTTCATCTGTTTTGCGGTGGCTGGTTTTCAAATACACTTTCTAGGAACTCTAAATGTGTTCAGTTAGAGTCCTCGCAGGAACTAGAGAACAGATGTTGACTGGTTCGCGGGCTCTGACTCCTTGTTTGGGACCGTGCATGGTGGATTTTCATGAACCACCGAAATATTTATGGGATTTGAATTTATTTTATTTTAAAAGGGACCCTATCCCTAATTATGGAACTGAAGATAATTACTTTTCCAACTGTCATGTTCACTAAAAATATGTCATGCGCTTTATGCCAGCTCCTTTTGCATGAGACCTAGAGTCCATATACTTATTACGTCATCATTTTAGTGAGTGGGTTGTTTCATCCATCCATGAGGTCTTCCTACCTATCCCATGTTAAAATTCCTTCTCCCCTGATGCATGCGCATGCGTTGTGTCCGTGGGTGCTAAAATCGAGAATTCTAGATGACGCAAATGAAGCAATATACGGATGGCCCCACGTAAAACCAACATTCTCTTTGTGTCCATGAAAATTTCTCGCGTGGATAATATTTACGATGCAGGGTTTCCGTTATCCTTATTGTTAGTAAAAAAATGGTTGCTAAAAACCAGATTGACCAGGGAGGAAAAGTGGGGAAAATACAATTTTTACCATCCACCCAAAATTAGGAAATAGAAAAATAGGAAACCCTCGGTCTTTATTGATATGATTCAAAATATGGGGTGGTCCATAAATTATGTCACGCTGAGGATGGGGGGGGGGAGGGATTCGAAGCATCCGTGACAAAGTGTGACATACGGGGAGGGGGGGTTCGGCCGATCCGTGACGTCACGTTTTTCAGGCCTAACTAAATGCAAACTTTAACTCACATCTTAATTCCCCGACTATGACCAAACTAAAGTTTCGCAATTATTTCCAAACTAGCCTATAAGCCTGTCGATGAAAACCAGACCAAGCGTACTACAAAACTCGTTTCCATATTTAGCAAAAAGCAGAGTGAGACTCGGACTCTGGTGGGTATCCACCACCACCGCTGGCTCTCGTTGCGACAGTGCCGTATGGTGGTCTGTCGCACTTCTCATTCTCTGCAAATTGTTGACGGGGATTAAAAATTCAGAAAAGCTTAAGTTTTAAATTTGGGGCTAATTTTTATCACAAATTTGAATAAGCTCTTTAATTGCAATTATATGTCTCATTTTCTCATTAGTGACAATAGTTTGTTACGGGTCTTGCAAAAATAAGCTCCTCCCCCAGAAACTTTGGCCCCAAAAAACTCATGGTTCCCACACTTTGCAGTCTGACAACAAAAGCTTAAAATGTTCGTCTTTCTAAGGAGAAAAATCTGGCATTAGGTTGTCAGACTGCAAAGTGTGGGAACCATGAGTTTTTTGAGGATTTATATGTATGTAGGAAAACCGCGAATTTTCAAATTTTGAAACTCTGGATGCATAAAAATGTTCGCATTCAAGTGGGAATTAGAATGTCAAATACAAGTTGATGTCTAATTCTTACTGTACGGAGTGTGCATTGACTTTCTCATTTTTCCAAATTTTATTCCCCCATTTTTGAAGGGGGGTTAGATGCACATATTTCAAAAATCGTAATGTTATATATATCCTTGCACCAGGAATTAAATTTACAATTTTTTAAATTAAATTCGGTGACATCGACGCGAAAAGGATTTGCACAGTACACTTGGCCTTGCTCTCCATCCATAATTTATAATATAGAAATCGGGTTTAACCAATGGAAACTATGCGTGATGCATACATAAGCATCATTAATACAAAAAAAGCATTCCACGAAAACTTTTCATGAACAAAGGGAACAATATCAAGGGAACGTGCATAAGGAGTGTCACAATTTTTCCTGCAGTGTGCCCACCAATGCTGCACTTATCATTAGAAAGATAACTTGCCCTTTGAAATCGACTCCTATAATTTCTCTATTTCACCACAAAATCCATGATGCAAGGTCCCAAAAAAGGGTACGCTACACAAAAAAAGGGTCGATATAAAATGAAGGGCAGGAAAGTCTAACAATGAACAGTTGTTCTCAAACAGGAAAAAAAGCAGATGGAAATATTTTACACATTTCTTTCCCGTTATTTTAAATAGATTGATGCCGTAAATCTGAATATTATTCTACTTGAATTATTGGTGAGACTTAGAGACAGTTTCAAATACCGAGGCAGTTCACGCAGTCATTCGTAACTCTTAAAATCCGTACATTTTGTAAACTTATTTTACAAAATTTTACAAAGTAAAGAGAATCCCTCTATTCATCGAAGTAAGTTCAAAAAATTTGTAAGTTCATTTCCATGCAAATATTTGTAAAAGTTTGTAACTTAATTTAAGCATTTTGATTATACAAAATTTCCAACTAATGTGTGAATTGCGTCAATATTTGCTATTGAACTTGTAATAAAAACTGAATTACAAAATATGTACAAAGTTATACATATATTTATATAATTATTTACATAGGTACACTCAAAACAAAAATTTGTCGAATCAACACCGCCGGTGTCAATATATGACTTAACCGCCTGGTTACTGTTGGTTACAATTGTGAATCACAATTTGTGATTCCGAGTTATGTTGATTTTGATACCGGTAGTTATAATGTTATGACCGGACGGAAAAGATTTCATTACCACTCGGAATCACAATTGTAACCACGGCGGTTAAGTCATATATTGACACCGGCGGTGTTGATTCGACAAATTTTTGTTTTGAGTGTACTTAACAAATGAATGTTAAAAATTATGTGTGAAACAGTAAAATTGGATCGTTCACACCCCCTGACAAATTTCTCTCGGAAAATGGAATCCCAACTAGAGGAACGAACCCCGCTAGAAATCGCATTAAATAATCCGACCGTAAGCCAAACACATTTAGGATTAGACTTGAATGAATTGAACAATGGGCATACTCTCCATCCACTCAGGATTGAACTTTTAAAGAAATTGAGCATTCTGAGAAACTAATCAAAATTCCTAGTCAGCATTATTTGAGGGAATTTTAGACTGTCAGCAGTGTCGTAGTTTCTCAGAATTCTCAATTTCTGTAAAAGTTCAATCCTGAGTGAATGGAGAGTACTCACGGCAACCTTCGCAAATTGAGGATAGATAGAGTAACAATAGTCTAAACCGGAATTTAGAAATGATTTTCTTCAAAAATTTGCACAATTTGTAGATATGATTTTTGTGAGTGCAACGGTACTCATAATTTGGTTCAAATCCGCCTTAAGCCCGAGGTGGAGGGGCCGAAAGTCGTAAAAACTGCAAGCGGGCAAGCGTATTTCTCGATTATGGAAAAAGATATCGAGATGATACTTTCACCAAAAGATTCGTAATTTTTTTATCTATCTACAACCCGACCGGTTTTGGAAATTCGAAAAAAATTGTATTTTAATTAATTAGCAATGAATTCAATCGCTCCAGAATTTGTTTTACATATCGATACAAATACACATAGCGTGTCACACAAGCCAAATGTAAAAATATGGTATTTTTCAATAATTATGTTTTATCGATTACTCATATCCTCCGTCTGGCCATATTTTGCGAATCCCCTCATGCCACAATTTTTTTGTCTTCGCTATTTTTCTAAACGAATTGCCATGCGAAAAATACTCTGTCCTGACTATGCTCAATGTTAATTTGGCGAGTAAAATGAATTTGCAAACTTGCAGATTTTGAGCGAAATATTCAAACGGATTCATAGTGACATTGATACGGACACCTCCCCATTGAAAACTGCCCGACTAGTTTGCCAATTTTGGAACGACATGGTCCTCTCCCTGGCCAAACTTGAGTTAGAACTGTCCAACTACGAGCACTACGGAGAACAGGACCCCTTTTCCTTCTTCGACTTTTGTTTCTCGGTAGATCACCGACTCGCGAAACGGATCCACGCCACGTCTGGTTACATGGTGTCGGAGAGCGCCGGCCCCCGCGTGTACCACTTCGCCTGTAAGCTGACCCACGTGTGCGATAAATTCAGCGAAATCATGCGAATTTTGACGATTGAAATTATGTATGAAGACTGTTTGAAATATGTCCATCAAATCTTGAAAAATTGCTGTCCGAATTTGAAAGAGTTAGAATTGAAATTTTTTCTTTCGACTCTCGAACGAACTTTGGACGAGCCTTTGCCACCAAAAGCAAAGTTGGAATCGCTCATATTCCATTGCGGGGTGCACACCGGGATTCCTGCTCTCGTCAGTTTTATTCAAGTCGTGGTCAACGCCTCGCCAAATTTAAGGAAGGCAAAGTTTCCAGAGGACATCTTTCCTGACTTAAAAAGTTGTAAATTTCTCAACTCCTTAAAAATCAAACTAACGAAAAGTGACCCAGCCGACATCGCTCGTTGCGCACTAATGCTTCGTCCGATTTCAGGCCGACTGGTCAGCCTACGTTTTGGCAAAGCCTATTCATTAGGGCCTTCTGGGGAACCGGGAAAATTCTGGTTACCGAAAAATATGCGCAAATTGGAAACGTATAAGGCTCCCATGGTCGACGTTTTTCAGTGCGACGAACTCTTGTCACACTTTGAAAAAATGCCCGCACTGAAAACCCTGGTGATTAGACAGATTCGACACGAAAATGGCAGGTTTGCACGAGTTTTTGCAACCCGTTTTCGCCTCGGGGAAGATTTGCGGAGGTGTGAAGAATTTGACAATTTTTGAGATGCTTAATCCCACGCTTTTGGAGGGGTTGAAAACCGCGTTTCCGAACGTGGTGAGGTTGAAGATGGTCACACTCTTAGAAATCCATACTTTATATGACGTAAAATATAACTCGATATAACTTCCAAAGTGCCACTACCCCACTTATAGCGAATCGCTCTCTCTCGGCCACACAGTAAGCCATTTTACCCTGTAACAATATTCACAGGGTAACTGAGCGCCCAATAGGGTAACGACCGTAACCCTAAATCGCGTTGATTATGACTTTACTTTCTTGCTTTGATGACCCCAGGAAAAGTTACTTAAGCGTAGTCGCAGTATTTAGTACTTAATAATATATTTTATTTCACATTCAACATTGCATTACAAATTACCCTTATTATGAACCACTAGTGAGGATATTTGTAAACGCTGGACCCTGTTAACTTAAGAAAATTTTTTAAATGTTATACTAAAGTTTTAAAATTAGTTTTGCACTTAAAACAAAGATATACTAGCTAAGTTCTCACAAATTGTACAATGCATTCCAAAGGCGACCTAAAATGACCTAGAAAACCTGACAATTTTCTTCTGAAATTATTAACAGAGTCTCGTCCGTAATATCGTCATCTGTTTAAAGACAATTAAAATAAAAATTAAACGCAATGTAAATTAAATTTGTGTATAAATTATGCAAATCATGCGAATTTCTTACCCTTCAGCGTCCCCGTCCAAATTGTTGCAATAACCTCCTCGTTTCCTCCATTATTTGCTTATGAGTTAACTAACTAATTAATTAATTATCAATTTAACTAACCAGCACTGACTGGCTGAGCTGCGAGTTGTAATCAGAGCGAGGGAAAAGTCAGCGTCTGGTTTGACCAAGAATATCCTAAATGGGGTTTGCTTACTCTAAATGGTCTAATAGTTTACTTTGTGGTTTAGAAAATAGTGGTTTTACTTCACATTTGGTGACTTTTGTCATTACTTTGAATGAAGTTGACCATTTTACTTCGAATCAAGTGAGGTTTACTTTAAAGCGCATAACGTTCCATTTTACTTCATGAAAAGATATTGCATTTTCTAAGAGTGCACGTTTACCAGGAAGGACGTTCGGGGGAAGGAGACTGGGATGAAGTTGGGCGTGATTCTGAAGGCGTGTGGGGGTTGGGGAGGGTTGAAATGTTTGGATTTGGAGCTGCCAATGTATCGAGAGGAAAGTAAGGACCTTACTTCAGCCCTGTTGGAAGGAAGAGAGGTATACAAAGGTGAGTGCGTGACAACTTTTCAAATTAATTTGGTGCTAAAATTTTCTTAATGTTTGCAAAAGAAAGTGGGATTGGATATATGGGAATTTGCGCAATTTCAATGAGCGTAATTGAGGTCACTAGTTCGCGTTACAACATGCTTGTTTAAAAAATTGTGACTTAATTACTGCCTTGGATATGTGTAAATGAGTTTCGACTCTCTAAAGTTGCTCATATTTCATTGCAGAAGGCGAAAGAGTTTTTGCAAGGCCACCAAACATATACAAGGAATAAGTACGTTCGTCACAAATTTCCAAGACGCAAGATTGTTGTACCGTCAATTGACTATTTATGGCAAGGTGATTTGATTACTGTTACGAAATTTAGCAGAAAAAATAAGGGTATAAAAGTCTTACTAACCGTAATCGACGTATTAAGCCGTTATGCATTTGTTAGACCGTTGTCAAATAAAACCTGCTCCGTCGTAGCAAAAGCATTTCAAGATATTTTAGACACCAGTGGTCGTAAATGTAAATATCTTCAAACGGACCGAGGTCTTGAGTTTAGAGGTGCAGCCTTTCTCAAAATATTAGATATGAATAAAATAAACTTGTTTCATAATCATTCCGAACTCAAAGCTGCCATGATAGAAAGATTTAATAGAACACTAATGCTTCGTCTGAATAAGTTTTTCACATTTACAAATGATACGAAATACATAGACAATTTACAAGACTTTGTACAATCCTATAATTCTTCAGTGCATAGGTCCATAAACTGTCGACCAAAAGATGTAAAGCCTTCCAATCAATTTAATGTTTGGATGAAGAGTTACGAGGATTTGCAGAAGTCAAAGCCGTCTACTCCTAAATTTCGAATCGGACAGTATCTTAGAATTAAGATTCAAAAAGCAACATTCGAGAAAGGTTACGCTTCGACGTTCACCACTGACTTGTTCAAAATTCGAGAAATCGTAAACAGCATACCTGTGACATATAAGTTAAGTGATAATACAGGGGAAATAATTTTAGGTGTATTTTATCCTGAGGAATTATCTCTCGTAAAAATTTGAAATTAGTTCCCGAAAAAGTTTCTCGGAAACCTCTGAATTATGAGGCTTATAATTTTTTTTTTAAATTAGCATTTCCGAACCGGTTTTGAAAATGAAATAAGCAGCTATAAATAAACATAAAATACATAAAAAAAATATCCGAATAAAAATATAAATAGAGGCAATAGTATTTAAGGAGAAAATTTGCGAGTATTATCCGCATTTGTTCGCTGAGTTCGAACCTATTCACAAGTCTATAAGATGGAAAACAATCTGAAGGACTTAGCCTCAGACGACGAAAAAATTACATCTGAACAAGTGCCTGAAGATGCGCCTGTTTCTGCAAATGAGCGACCCAAGCGTGGTAAGCCCGATCTGGATGGGAAAGCCGGTTCTTCGAGTAAACCGTCGACTGCTCAGAAACTCAAAAAGTTCATCTGTAAAAGAAGGAAAATCGAAAAATCTTCACAAGCTCCGTTAGCATCAGGTACTCATGTTTTTCATAGGAAGAATTTTTCCGAATCATTGCTTGGCTAAGGATCGTATATTCATATGTAGGTGTTGAATTTTCATCGTCTGGAACATCTTCATCGTCGGCATCATCATCCGACAACGAAGGGGCTCATGGAACAGACCTTACCGCAGTTTGTGGTATGAGCAAAATTATGCCAAAGCCATTTTTCAAGCCAAGGTTGAGCGCTAGAATTGATGATCACTCGATTGAGTGGTACACCTTAGGCAATAATATCGTTTTAGACATTAAGCTTTGCGGTTACAGATGTACAGAATACTATAATAATCATGTGAGATTCCGAGGGCACTATTTACATGAATTACTTAATTTTTTGAACGAAATACCGAAAATTTATGAAACCCAACTTCCTACACAAACTGCTCCGCTCAAATATTAAAAACTTTGTAAAGGATTAGAATAATTAGTTAATATTTGTAAATGCAGATCTTATGGACCACCTTTTTCCAGATCATTTGCTAAATGGTTGTATCGTGTTTAATAAGGGGTTCGGAGGAAAGTCTTACTTGCAATGTACGACAATCGGTGAAGAAATTACCATCACCATTGGCGGAAATTCGCTTTTTGAGTTCATTTCAATGAACAGAAGTCAGTTTGGCGAGTTTTTGAAAGTGTTGAATGAAATGAAAATCGAGTGTCACAATCTCTTCGATTTGGACGGACCTTTAGACTTAACTACTAGACAATAGGATTTTAGTTAAATATGAATAAAATGTTTCCTGCACACACAAAAATTGTTCAATCTTATTTATTTCTAGGTGATAACGACGGGAAACCTGACGGTATCACTAACGCTCAAAAGGTCTTTTTCGCAGTATTCGGAATTTCACCTACACCAAAACCTGCCGGCACTAATCAAATCGGTTGGCCCGATAGAGGATTCGAACTTAGTGACCAGGGTGCATTTGTGAGGAAAGACTATTTTGTAATGTGCACACTGAAATATTGGTATACCGAAATCCCGAAAATTTTGAAAAGGAACTTTAAGATCATAAACAGCACCGACTCTTTTTCCCAGTATGAAAGTTGACAACGAGTTCTGCCCAGAAAGAGATTCCTGCGACTAGAATTCCCCCAAAAAATAGGTACGCACATCCAGAAAAATGAGACAATTTTAGCGCATCGTCTTCATCAGGGTTGTGTTCGCCTCCCATCGACTAGACACTTTTATTCCCCTCGCTCAACTGAAGCCAGGCGTGTCTCTGAGTTCGAATATCTTGAAAATCCAGCCTCCTCAGTTTCGTGATGATCCCGGTGTCCGTCGCCCATCGCAACACGTTGTCAATTTCTCCCTTAAATACGGCCCGCTTTGCCGTGACGAGGCCCGCGTTGGTGTTCAGCGTGGACGAGGGTGACTTGAGGATAGGACTTTGACCGTGAGCGTCGCTAAGATTGCGATGTGTGACAAAATCCGCGATGGACTCCCAAGAAATGCAGGCGAATCTGGACTTAACTGCGAGTGGGGACATAATCCTTAGAATGATTCACGTATTTTTAAATAAAATTACACTGTTAGAATCTGTCATTTATGTAAGCCTAATACTCAGGACGGATTTTTCATGTGAAAAACTGTTAGCAAGGTGGTAATGAATCATCACGTCCCGAGTGGAAATATGACTTCACCGGCATGGTAATAACGGGGATTACCGTAGAGTCATGAAATATGGAGTTGTTGTGGTAATGATATTTTACCACTCTAAAACAATTACCAATAGGGGAGGATGTTAAGTTTTCCAGAATCCTCCGTTTTGCGGGAAAATACCGTCCTGAGTACTAGGCTTTAAACATTAATTTTTCAGTATTAATTAATACCGAGCTTTGGTATCAAATGACATCAGTCCATACATACTGATGGATTCGCAATCAGGGTTCGGAAAAACCCAGGGTTTTAATCAAGAATTATAAAACCCATGGGTTTTAATGGGTTTTACCATGTTAATTGGGTTTTATTTGGGTTTTAATGGGTTTTATATAACACTTGAAATCTGTGATGCTAAAGAATGGAGTCAATTGTTGATTTGCTCCGAATTTCCATACATTAGAATAGTAATGAAATAAACTGCTTTAGAATGAATTGAGATAACGTCTTCTAACGTATAGGAGATCTGTTTAACTTTTAGAATGTAGTTTTAAGGTAAAACTCAATTAAAACCCAATAAAACCCATTAAAACCCAAATAAAACCCACTTAACATGGTAAAACCCAGTGGGTTTTATTCATTTGTAACCCATTAAAACCCAATAAAACCCAACCCATTAAAACCCAGGTCGGAATACCCTGTTCGCAATCGACATGGTAAAACTTTAATACAGCAATGTATGTATTACTAGATGGTGTTACTAATCAATACTGCTACTTTGGTAGAACCACAAACAGAAACTGCCTATCATTAGATTATTCTGATTTCTAAGAGTTTATCACGTGAAAAAGGTTGATTACCAGCGACTAAAAAACAGTTGACGTCGTTCTCCTCGAGACTCATTCGTTTAAAGATTTTCGAGTACGTGGGATTTTTTGAATGCTTCAGAACTTGGTACGCCGCACCCTTAATGTACTGCAGCCCGATTTCATAGTCGGAATTCGCCAACTCTTCAAAAGTTTCTGGCGGTTGTTCAACATTCGGAAAGGCCAGAAACGTGACGAGTTTGGAGCGATACGCGGTCGCGATGAGGAGACCGTACAAAAGCCAAAAGACAGTGAAGGTCCGTAGGGCTACAGACGATCTGGCAGAATTCGGCGGGGAAGTGGGATCTTGTTCTAACAAAGTTCCCACGACGTATTCAATCAGTTTTCTGTAACACCAGGAAAGCAGAAATCATAGAGGGAGTTACTCCGAGAAAATTTGGCCAGATGGATATTTCTGTATAATCTAGAAGGCGTTAAAAATTTTGCAAGGCGGCAAATTTAATAGAAGTTGACATTTAGAAGTGTAATACTAGTGAAATTTAGATGTTTTGTGGTGTTTAAGAAACTGGCTAACATAAATGCCTATAAGTACTCCTTAAAGGTAAGTACCTCTACCTAAATATTCAACTCTGTGGATAGTAGATTCAGAATTAATAATTTTGATTTCCGTACTCAAAACCCCATGACACATGACTTCCCTGTGGGCTGCCTTCCTGACCAGTTGGCGAAAAAGAAGAATGTCCCCCACCCTACGACCAGCGATCCTCCGACGCAATACCACACCTCGTTCGCCAATGGACGGTACACCGAACGCCAAGTAAAAAAGGGTTGTGGCAAACCCGTCGAGAAAGTCAGCCATTCGTGTGAGATTGCATAACTGTGCGCGACGACACGTGATCTCGTCCACGTTTCTGCCGTAACGTGTCCAATGTCTGCCTTCCCGTAGAGCACGTCGCCCACAGTGCCGACCCATGTCGACCCGTTCACCCCCCGTCCCGCCGCCCGTGGAGGGAAAGTGAGACG